CACTTGCCGCGGGAGGTGGGAGCGGGCCTCTTCTGGCCTCCCCTGGGCCACAGTGCTCTGGCACTGGCCCGGGGAGGCGGCGGGGGTGTCTTCTGGCCTCCCCTGGGCTGCAGCGCTCCGGCACTGTCCCAGGGAGGCGGCGGGGGGCGACCTCTGGCCTCCCCCGGGCCGTAGCGCTAGCCCGGGGAGGTGACGACGGGCCTCCTCAGGCCTCCCCGGGGCCACAGTGCTCCGGCGCGGGCTCCGGGAAGGCAGCAGCAGGACTCCTCAGGCCTCCCTGGGGCCACAGCGCTCTGGCACGGGCCCTGGGAAGGCAGCGACAGGCCTCCTCATGCCTCCCTGGGGCTGCAGTCCTCCAGTGCGGGCCCCGGAACACCTGCGATGGGCCACAGCGCAGGAAGCTGGGGGTGGGGCTTGCTGCTGCCACCGTTTGTGCCAGCTCCTGGGCTCCCAGAGCAGCGTCCGGTGCGCTCCGGCCCCAAAAGACCCCTGGGTGCAAGTATCATAAAGTGCTTAACATTTATATACAATAGTTTTAATTGTTTTGCTTCCTTTTGCAGAATGTACAAAATACAGGAACTCTTCCTCAGGGCACCAGTCCCCCTAAACCTCCAAGGGCTCATGAATTAAAGCTGCTAATGAAAAATATCAAAGCTACACTGGCCAGTCAAAGCACTGAAAGTAAGACAATTTTTTGCTCTTCTTCTCCCTCCCAACATAGTACTCTTCCAGCACTTTTTTTTTGCACCAAATCATGATGAAAATGTTTCCTAGCCTGATATGCCATAAACCCAGGAAAGGATCCCTTTGCTTCTGTAATACAAAGTCGTCTTGACTATTTTGAACTAATTTCTCTCAAGCATCAGGATTCTTTACATAAAAACAGAAAACTGAACTATACAGCATGTTGAAAGTTCAAATGGCTTTCTTTTCTTAGGTGAATAAAGAGTTGCAGTCTATGTAAAAGATAAAAAGAGTTGGAAAATAAAAGAAAGGAAAGAAAAATAACATTTAAATATAAGCCACTTCTCATTAACATTTATTTATTTGATTTATGACCCTCTCCCTCTCAGAGGACTCAGGGTGGTTCACAACTATGACTGCCCTGTCCATTTTCCTCCCTCAGAGGCAAGAGTTTCCCTCCATTTTTCTTTCCCTTTACTGACTGAGCTGCCCTAGTAATGTGTTTTCTTCTTTGGCTGCCCCATCCTGTCTCAATATAATATTTTGGCTGTTGACTCAGCCCAGAAACCTGAAGGAAAGGGATTGGGAGCCCCCTTTATCTTTAATGGCATTCAAAATGTTTTTATATTTCAACATAGAGGGAAAAGGTCAGGTGAAATCAGGGGTTGAAGTTTCTGAGGTAAAACCAGTACATGCACAGACTTTAGTTCTATTGTTTCAGGTTAATGAGATTTTCTTAATCTTTTCATAGTGACTTAATATCTTTATGTTGAGTGGCTTTTGTTCCAGTGGCTTTTGTTCCAGTGTTTTCCCCCAAACACGCCAGCACACTTTCTTTGAGTATTCTCTGACTCTTGGCTTCCAGAAGGCTGGTATACTCTTTCCAGTACCCAAACCCCTTCTCTTGAAACACCAGTACTCGTCTTGAGTTCTTAACTGACTCTTAAGGTCTCTAAAGGCAGTTTCTAACCATACCAGAACAGGGATCTCTGCACTCTTCAGAGCTAACTCCCTGTTTGACTGGTTAGGGAAATTCTCCTTACTAGAGGATCTATCCCCTTTCTTTGGCCCGAATGGGAGTCTTTGCCTAACTTCCCAAATTTTCTTGCCAACTTTCTCCCAGTACCCCATTGTGTAAAACTGCTCTCTGCTAAGGCTGAATTTAAAAACTATCAGTACTTGACTCTTCTCAGCTAGGGCTGAAATCAGACTGAATTCTACCCAGCATCCAGTTCAGAAGTCTTTCTCTGATGCTTACCAATCAGCTAATGCTAATCAATCAGATCTCTTGGAACAGCCTGTCACTCAAGGTTCTCTGATTTTGTGAAAAATTAACCCTGCACAGTCCTTTATATGTTTACACAGCACCTCTAAGCTTTTAAAAAGTGCAGTCCATCACAATAATATACACAACATAGCATTAAAACTTAAAATAGATAATAAAACTGATAAATACAAATAAATACCATAAAACAGATTCTAATTAAAATTCAACTGGTCATTAGCTCTGGAACAAATCTTAACGGTCAGTGAGCTCACCAATTCTCTTAGCTAATTAAATGCTGCACAAAAACAAGGCAGCCTTGCATGCTGTACAGAACCTTAATAGATCCTGAAGAGCATGAATCTCCTCGGAGCTGGTTTCAGAGGGCAGGGACAGCCAGGGCTGTCTAGTACCTGGCCTAGAGCGCAGCTCCCCTAGTGGGGCCAGGAGGCCCCTTCCACCACCACCCACCCAACCCCAGCATTGTTTTCTGGGTGCCTGCTTGGCGCCCTTTACCACCACCTTGCTTTGCCTCCACCGCCTCCTCCTCCGCTGCTCCATCAGGAGGGGGGAGGGAGGAAGCGCCCCCTCCCTGCCACGCAGGTAGCCTGCAGGGCAGGGAGGAGGTGGGGGCGCTGCTTGAAGGGCCCAGCGGCAGGGCGGCTCAAAAGCGGGCCTGAGAGGTTGGTGACGGTGTGCCCAAGGCTCTGGGAAGGACTTGGGGAGCCGCTGCCAGTCTGCACAGACAAGGCTGCCCTTTGCAGACTACCACTTGGGGAACAGCTCTGGGGCTGTCTTTTTTTCATATTTGCAGACAGCGCATGAAAAAATCCAAACCGGAGTCACACATGCTTGCCACCACCTCCGCCCCCAGGTCCCCCCCTTTTGCATTCGCTGGGCTGAGGACTGTGTTTTCACTCCTGCCTGCTTGTCAGGCAGAAGTCGCTGCCACCGCCCCCCCCCCCACCGTCAAGCTCCGCTGTCCCTCAGTCAGGCTGCTGTTTATGGACCAC